TTTGAGACCAGCCTGGGACAGTGGATCAAGGCCAGCCTGAACTACACAGTAAGACACTGTCTCAAAGCAAAAAAAAAAAAAGCAAGGGATTTAGTTTAGCGGCAAAAGCGCCTGCATGGCAAGCATGAGGTTGTGAGTTTGATCCCCAGTACTAACCACCCTAAACAAACAAACAAACGTACTTAATAAATAGACTAGTAATGTAGCTCAATGCCAAAGCCCTGGGTTCAATGCCCAGTACCACAATTAATCAATAATGAATACATAACGAATGGGCTGACACTGTAGCTTGGCTGTAGAGTACCTTTGGGTTCAACCCATAGTACTAAAAATCAAGTTCTGGGCACGACGGCCACGCCTGTGACCCCAGCACTCTGCGTGGCAGAGAAAAGGGGAATCCAAAGTTCAAAGCCAGCCTGGGCAACTTGGGGAGACCTGTCTCAAAATAAAAAAGGCCCTGGGTTCCATCCCCAGGTGAAAAATAAAGCCTATCAAAAAACAAATAGATTAAATCCAGAGAGCGCCACGGGAAGTCGCGTCCGCCCTTCACGGCGCGCGGTCTCCTTCCTCCGCCCGCAGAGGTTGCTCAGGCCGACCGCGGACCCCTTTCCAGCCCGGCCCTCCCCACCCCGCACGCAACCAGACCCCGCCGTGGCGGCAGCACCCTGAGTGACGCCGGCACCACGAAGGCTCCGCGGCGCAGCCTCCTCGGTACCGGCCTGTGCGAGCGTGCACCGCCTGGGTTCGGCCCGGCACCGCGAAAACCGGGCCAGCGCTTTGCTTTGGACGGGGAAGAGCCTTGAACCCCCGGCTAGCGCGCCCCGCCCCGGAGCGCCGCCCCCGCCTTTTGATTCATTTTGAGGCGGGGTTTCCAAGGCCGCTGTGGTACTCGGCGGACGCCAGACCCACCGTGCTTCCTGCCTCAGCCTCCCAGAGAGCCGGGATGACCGAGGGACCCCGCCTCGCCTGGCCCAGTCCTGCCCGCTCCGGGACTGCTGTTGGAGCCTTGGAGCCCCGCGGGGACAAAAGACAAAAGGGGACTCGGGCCTCGGGCCTCGCAGCCACTGTGCACGCCCATCCCGGCGTTCCCGGGCGCCCAGGGCGCACACCCCGGCCGGGAGCCTGCGCGGGGCACGCCGCACCCCTCTCCGCCGCGGCCGCCCCCTGGCTCGCTCCGGGCCGCCGCCGTCTTTCTCCTGAAGTCCGCAGTCGCAGCCCGGTCCCGGGCGGTGGCGCTGCCAGTGCGCCCGAGTGCTGCAGCGAGCCAGGCGCTGATCACACAGCGGCCTGCGCCCCAGGCTGGCCTTTCCCACTGCCGCCCGGCCCGGGTTCACCCCCACTCTTCGTGTTTCCTCTGCAGCCCACGCTGCACCCAGGGTAATCTGAAACCACAGCACCGGGCAACCTTTGCTCTGCAGCAGGGTAAGAGCTCCCAAGGCTGCGTCGAAGCTTCCCAGGCCCGCTCACCTGCCCTGACTTCCCTCCGGAGCCTTGAGTCTTGTGCGGTGCCCACCTCTCAAGCCCCGGTGCGTGTCACCTGTGTGTTTGTTCATAGTTTTACCTGTAATGACATTTTACCTCCCACTCCTCCAGCTTCATCTCCATCCCACCTGTCAAAGCCTTGAAAAAAAATTAATTAAATTAAATAAAAAGAGGAAACCTCCAAGGGTGGAGGCCATGGGAGGCTGAGGCAAGAGGATGAGTTCAAGGCCAAACTAAACTACAGTACATAGCCAGATGTTAGCTCAATAAAATAAAATAAAAAGGCCGGGGATACAGCTCACAAGCTCAGGGTCCTGAGTTTGATCTTTGGTACCAAAAAGGAAAAAAAAAAAAAAAGCACTACTTGAAGGTAGCATCATTTGTGACCGTCCTCTCATCCTCAGAGTGGAGTTTCTCCTTCAGTTCTCATTACACCTTGTGGCTCACTCCTGTGCCATCTCTTTCTATTGTTCTAGTTCTCTGTGTCCAGACCTTCCTCAGGCCCCACCCCCACTACAGGAGCAGCTGCTTGAGGGCAAGGCCTACACTTCTTCCCGCCCAAGGCGGCATCTGGAGCTCCAGCCTTCAGATTCACACTCCAGGAAAAGGGAAGAGGGCCTCTTGGCTGAGGTGGGGTCACTGCTTCCCTTCTAAGTCAAGAGGTCACTATTTTATAGATGAAATAAGAAGGTTGAAAGATCTTCAGGAGGCTGCAAAGCCTCGAGGTTAAGCAATATTTTGGAACCGTATGTCCACTCTGAGTCTGAATCCCACCCCTGCATGAAGTTCTTTCTTCTTCATTTGTAAGATTGGTTGAGTGATAGCCACTTCAGGGAGTGTTAAACGTTCAATAGGAAAATGGATGTGAAAAATCACTTAGTTAAAAATGCCAGCCATACAGTTAGTGTCAAGTGTCTTATTCCCCCAAAAGCAGAGCCAGAGACAAGGATTTAGTGCAAACAGTTTATTTAGAAGGTGATCCTAAGAAATGGGGTGGACAGGTGTGAGACAAGAAAGCGAGAAAGACAGTAAAGTACACAGACGTGGATAAAGAAAATGTATTCAGTCCTGCTAGAACATGCCCTGCCGCGGGGAATTGGAATGCACCCACTGAGGCACCAGAAATCTGGGTGTTCATTCTCCAACTCACATCCTCCTGGTTGAGGGTTTCCCGGGGTGTTAGCTTTCTGGCTTGTCTCGCTTGCTCATGCTCACCGCCAAGCCCAGCATGCCCATGGGAGACACATGGTGTGATGGTTTAGATCCACCATATCCCCAGAAGTCTCTTGTGTTCAGAGGATCAACTATGGCTGAATACGCTATTAGGAGTAAGGTCTGGTGGCAACAGCAGGTCACTAGGGGTGTGCCCTGGAAGTCCTTGGCTCCTCCCTTCTCTCTTTGCTTCCTGGTTTCCAGGAGCAGCTTTGCTCCTAAACACCCATGCTGTTTCTGCCTTGGAGCGAGCAAACCATAGGCTGAAACCATGAGCCCAATTAAACCTCTCTTCCTTTACATTGCAAGCATCAGGTATTTTGTTCCAACAATGGGAAAACAGACAAAAACAGAAAACTGGTACCAGGAATGGGGTTGTTGCTGTGACTATACCTGACCAAGTGGTTCAGAAGCCTCTGGACTGGATCATGGGAGGAGTTTAAAAGATTTAAAGATGCAGGCTAGAGAAGCCCAGAATCCTGTAAGATGAGCTTCATGGAGGATTCTGGTCAAAGCTTAGAAGACCAGAATGCAGACAGTAAAGGCCAGGCTCAGAAGGTTTTGGTTGGGAACAAAGATTCCCCTGGCAGTTGGACTAGAGGCTAGCAGTTACACTTTTTGTGTGTTATACTTTTGCAAAAAGTTTGTTTATATTTTGTCCATGTCCTTAGACTGAGATTATAAGTGGTCCCATTTCTTTTATCCCTCTACTTCTCCCTTTTGGAATGGGAATGGTTATGCTGTGTCACTGTATATTGACAGTATTTAACTTTCTTTTTGATTTTTCACAACTAACAGTTTGCCTTGAGTTTCAGGGAAGACTTTGGATGAACTCTTCAGCAATGCTGAAACTGTTAAGACTTTGGCAGTTCTTTGGGACTAAAGGCAGTTTGCATAATGAAGAAGACATGAGCTTTTGGGGCGCCAGAGGTACCATGTTATGGTTTAGATCTAAAATGCCTTCCCAACATCTTGTGCTCAAAGGTGGGGCCTGGTCAGAGGTGGTCACTGGATGTGTGACCAAGAAAAGTGTGTTCTTCCCAGTTCCTCCCTTCTCTCACGTTTGCTGGCTACCCTGAGTATAGCAGCTCTTCTTAGCCATGCCCTTCCACTGTTCTGTTTTTGCCTGGGAGCCGCTAATCACGGACTGAACCTGCAGAAATCAAGAGTCAAAATCAACTTCGCCTCCTTTAAGATTTGGGTGTTGGTCATTGTGTCCCAGAATGGAGGAAGCTAACTAAAACATCCAGGAAGCAGAGACAGGTTCAGGAGCTGTGTGCAAGTGATCTCCAGATAGGCCTGTGAGAGTGTGGGTGGACGTCTACCACACTGCTGTTAAAATCACTGTAGCTGCACCACAGAGTGCCGGCACATGGGAAACACAGCCAAGGCAGGGGGCACATGTTCTGGACCCCGCAGTTCTCTGCTCCCACCTTCCCATCTGGTGGCAGCCTACATCCCAAGGTGCCCCCAGATGCATCAGCTCCTGGCATCATTTTTTCTAACCCTTCCCAGGGCCCTCCTCACCTTCCCAACGACTCCTGTGTTCTCTGCTCAAGACTTATCTCTCTTTACCCTGGCTTCTCTAGTGAAGACTCTTTTTTTTTTTTTTTTTTTAATTTTTTTGGTCTTTTTCCTTTTTATCAGTACCAGGGATCGAACTCACGACTGCCTGCTTGCAAGGCAGGTGCTTATGCCGCTGAGCTAAATCCCCACCCTGAAGACTCTTTCTTGGGGGCTCAGGATAAGTGTCAATGACTCCCAGTTCTTGTCGGACCACATTTTGGATTTGTGATTTTTTATTTTGTTCTTGTGGTTTTTGTCTTTGTTTTGAGATAGGGACTCACTATATATTTCAGGCTAACCTTGAACTCAATGATTCTCCTGCTTCACCCTCTTGTGTGCTGGGAATTTTGTTTGGTTTTGCTTTGTTTCTTTAAAAAGAGGTTTCACCATGTTGCCCAGGCTGGTTTGGAACTCCTAGGTTCAAGGGATCTGAGTGGTTGGGACTATAGGTGCCAACTGGGATTAATTGTTCTGCTTTCTCCCCCTAATCCACATTGGAATCACACCTTCAAAAGGACTACTCTAGCAGCTGTGATGGCACATATTTGTAAATCCAGAACTTGGGAGGCTGAAGCAGGAGGGTCCTCCTAGTCCAGGGTTACCATGCCTTAAGACCGCTGGGGCTTGACAGGTTGGCGTCCAGCCTGGCCCAGCCTTCCTGTCCATCCCTGTGTGCCCTGTCCCACCCAAGCCTGTCTGCTGCTTTCCTACAGGTTGTGGCCTAAGATTTTCAAGCTGTTGGAGCAGATACCTGTGCCAGAAGAACCACACAAGTGCTTTGCCAAGGTCTGCAAACACGCCAACCACCCAGTTCATTTGCAGTGCATATTCCTTTCCTTCCCATCACTCATGATCGATGCCCTCGTGGAAGGAAGCTCCACCACTCTATTAGGGTCTCCAGGACTTTCTTGTCTCAGAAGAATGGGACCAAGGACTTCTGGAGAGTTCCAGAAGGAAGGTCCCAGAGGGCAGGGGCTTTAAGGGGGCCAGACCTCTCAGGGCCCTGTGACAGCACTGGGATAGAGTCCAGACCCCAGCCCAAGTTCCCAAGCTGTCACCTCTGCAGCCCAGCCCAGGGGAGTGGGTCAAGGCCCACAGTGGAGGGTGGATCCTGTCCCTGGCTCCAGATCCCCGCCCCCCCGCAGAGTGTCCGTGTCCCTCTCTGCCTTTCCCAAGCTTCCCCAGCGGGCACAGAACTCAGTCCTGCCCCAGGGACATCCCCCTCCGTGCCACCTCTCCAGGGAGGGACAAGCTGGCCTGCTGATGTCGCAGCCTTTGTCTTCTTCCTGCCGCATGGTGCTGTGAGCATTTTCACAGCTGGGGGTGGCGGAAACTAGGGTGTTTTAAACCCTTCTTCCTGGCGACAAAGCCCCCACCCCCACCCCCGCCAAAGGCAGCTCAGCTTGGACATCTGTCCTCATCCAACCTCCTCTCCCATTGTCCCTGCGCCTAGGGGCTGCCCAGGCTGTGTCCTGCTTCCGTCCTCCTTCCCCCCAGCCGGCGAGGAAGCAGATCTGTACAGAGCCCTATGTGGCCACTGCCCCGGGCCTCAGTTTCCCCATCTGCTAACTCAGTCAATGGTACCTGCTGTCCAGACCCAGAGGACGCGGCGCGGAGGTCGCGGGTAGGAAGGGTCCCGCGCTTGGCGGGTAGGCCTGTGCTCCGCGTGTCGCCCCAGGCTTCGCTCCCTCCGGCACGCCCCTCCCCCTCTCCTCGCCCCTCCCCCACCACGCACCCTCTCGCCTCTAGTCTCCCGCTCGCTCGCTCCCGCGTGGCCGTGCTCCCCTCCCCTGGCCGTCCGCCTGCCGGTCCCGGGGTCCCCGCGCCCCGCCCGCCCGCCTGACCGCCTGTCCGTCCCCGCCGCAGCGTGGTCAGTGCGCAGCCCCAGCGCCCGCCCCGCGCACAGCCGGAGCCCGAGCCCGAGCCCGAGCCCGCGCCCCAGGAAGATCGCAGCCGGGACCGAAGCGAGCCCAGCGCCGCGGCCAGGTGAGCGCGACTCGCAGCCGAAGCCCGGGTCCCCGCCCCGCGGCCGCGCGAAGGGCCTGGGTCCAGGTGAAAGGGGCACCTGGGCGCCTCGGCGTGGAGGGGCTTTCGGGCTTGCGCTCCGGAGGCTGGAGGGAAGACCTCGGTTACCCTGGCCGGGGAGATTTTTCATAAGAAAGGGTGAATGTCTAGGGAGATACGGGGGCGGGGGTGAGGGGGTCGCGGAGACGCCCCCGCCGGACGTCGCTGCACCTCCGAGCCTGGTGCCCTGGCTCCGGGGCTGCCCGGCGCCTGTCCCAGATTTGCTCTTTGAAGACGCCCGTGTCGCGCCTCACCTGCACAGAGCCGGGAACAGCCACCCCCCCCCACCTGTCCCCACCTGCTGGGGAGGGGGTCCAGCCAAGGAGGGCCCGCAGGGCCCCGGGGTGGGCGCAGCAGAGGGGAGACGGAGAATGGGAACCGGCGCGCAGGACCACCGTGGGGCAGCTAGGGGCAGGCACTAGGGTCCAATAGGCAGGGGCTCCCGAAAGGCAGCAGCTAGGAAAGAAAACAGCCCCTGCGCCTTGAGACAGTGCTAGAAGGGATTTTTGGTTTGCTTTTGTTTGCTTTGCTGGCTTCCTTTCTCCTTCACCGTGGTTCCCACATGTAGTCCCCTCGTGTCTTCTCCTGTTTTTTGCAGAAAAGAGAAACTGAGGCAGAGGACAGAGTGGCTAGAGATGCCTGTGTCTGAGAGGGAAGGGTGGTGGGAAGGAAAGCAGCCTGAATTTGAAGTCAACAAACCTATGTGCAAGCCCTGCCTTGGAGCTCTAGGGATGACCTTGGGCCGGAATATGTCCCCCTTGTTAGACCTCAGCTTTGTCACCTGAGAAACGGGAGGATGCCCATCTCCCAAGCTTGCCAAGATGGAGTGTGAACAAAAGAGCTTTGGGTTTTTCTTTGTTTGGTTTGGTTTTTGAGACAGGGTCTTCCTGTTCAGACTGGTCTTGAACTCCTATATAGATCAGACTGAACTCAAACTTGCAATCCTCCTGCTTCACACCCAGCTCAAAGGAGCTCTGTGTAAGGGAATATACTGGATACTTTTGAGGGGCAACCTGTACCACTTGAGACCAGCTGCTCTCCTCCCACCCCTCACCAAGCACCCACAGCTTTCTTTTTTCAAGAATTAAGAAAGAGGCTGTGGATTTAGCTCAGCAGCATAAACGCCTGCCTCGCAAGCAAGTCATGAGTTCGATTCCTAGTACAAAAAAAAAAAAAAGCAAGAGTACTGCATTTGGAGAGGCCAGCAGCTTGGGACTCTAAGGTGAGAATTTCCCCGGGTGCCACTCCACAATCGGAGCTGCATTCCAGCTCTCACAGCCTTCAGGTGAACACCTGGCACAGGCCACATCTGCTGGGCTGCACCTGGCAACCTGATTGGGCAGGCCCTTGGCGTATCTAGGAGACACAGAGCCACATACACAACAGGGTGTTTCCAGGGAAGCCTGTGCCCAGCACTCTTGATTTTAAGATTCTGCCCTCCTAGGACAAGCAGTGAAATCCCACACACCCAGCCTAACTCTCAGGGGCAAGGCTTCCTGAGTCCCTAATACTGATGTCAAGAACTCAGTCACAGCCTCTCCCTGGCCACCTGGATCACACTGCTATTTGCAAAGCATGTCCTCATCTATGTGTCCTCATCTTCTGTCTCTACTTTCTCTCAATAAGCTTATGAAGCATGGCTGGCTCTTGACAGGGAGCCCAGAGAGGCTCAGAAGCTCCTGAGGGCTCACAGCCTGTCCCCAGGGAGCAGGATTGGAGCCCAAATATAGGTATCTGAACGATTTGTTCCACCTCTGAAGAACAAAGGTAGTTTCACAGCCTTACCAAGGCCAGCTGGAACCCATTCTGTCCCAGTGCTCCAGGATAGGGGAGGATCTCTCCTTCCCTGCAGGTACCAGCTTCTGGTCCCAGTGTCACCTCCTTTTCCTCTTAATTTCTTTGGTGTGGAGCTGCCTCAAAGCCCAACTGTTCTGGCCTCCTTGGGCTTGAAGGACACCTTGGGGTCAGAGGGCCTTTGTGACAGATAACCCTAGAGAATCACCAGGGAGTCAGGGAACATCCATTTCCTTTCCTGCCCAGAGGGACTGAAAGAGCCGCTGTCACAGACAACAGTGATCCTAAGACACTGCTCCGTGAAGGGCAGACTAAGGGCCAGAGGGGACCACAGGAGAAGGAAGCAAGCCACCCGCTGAGGGACACTCACATGCCCTGCATGCCCCATTGTTATCAGGGCCCAAGGTGCTGAGGGGCACGCAGGCGAGCCTCTTAACCACAGCCTGAGTTATGTCCACCAGAGAGACTGTGCTTGCAAAGGAAGGAAAGGAGAATCACTGGCCCCAATTTTGAAACACAGCAGGCACTCTGACTATAAGATGGACCTGCAGATTCCCAGGCCCCAGTCCAGACTCTGGGATGGACTCAACTGTGCATGTACGTTTTCCAGTATTGGGGATGAACCCTGGGAACTGAACTTTTTTGTTCTGAGACTGTCTCCCTAAACTAGGAAGTTGCCCGGTCTTTTTTTGTTTTGTTTTGGTACCGGGGATCAAACTTATGACCTCGAACTTGCCAGGCAGGCGCTTACATTGCTGAGCTAAATCCTCTGCAAGTTGCTCAGTCTTGCCTTCCACTTGCCCAGACAGATCTCTCTGTCACCCTCATGGCCCTGTGTTAGTTTGCGTTTTTCTGAAGCAGGGTCTTGCCATGTAGTCCAGGCTGGCCTCGAATGGTCGGTGATGCTGCTGTCTCAGCCTCTCAAATTGCTGAGATTCCGGGCGTGCACCCCCATGCCCGGCTGTGTATTTTAATAGGCTCTCGGTGTGACACTAAGGTCCTAAAATGTGGGAGGGCCTCTGACCTGGTCCAGACTTGCAGGAGTGCTGCAGAGATCTGAGGGTCCAGGTCAGGGCTGGGAAGGGCACCCGGTGTGCAGTGGGTCCTAGATGCCATGTCCCCTGTGCTTCCTGTCTCCACAGGGGCCATGCTGCTTCTTCTGTTTGGCCTACTGGCCCCGGCTACCTGCTGGGCCCTGGGCCCGGCCCCGGGGCCTGACTCCACGGGGCTGCGCTCGGCCTTCTCCGCGGTGCGCACCACCCCGCTGGAGGGCACCTCTGAGATGGCGGTCACCTTTGACAAGGTACTGGTGAACATCGGCAGCGACTTCGACGCGGCCACAGGGCACTTCCGCTGCCGCGTGCCAGGCGCCTACTTCTTCTCCTTCACCGCGGGCAAAGCCCCGCACAAGAGCCTGTCGGTGATGCTGGTGCGCAACCGCGACGAGGTGCAGGCGCTGGCCTTCGACGAGCAGCGGCGGCCCGGCACGCGGCGCGCCGCCAGCCAGAGCGCCATGTTGCAGCTTGACTACGGCGACACGGTGTGGCTGCGACTGCACGGCGCCCCGCAGTACGCGCTGGGCTCTCCGGGCGCCACCTTCAGCGGCTACCTGGTGTACGCCGACGCCGACGCGCCTGCGCCCGCGCCCGGGCCTGCGCCCTCCCAGCCACGCTCGGCCTTCTCGGCAGCGCGCACTCGCAGCCTGGTGGGCGCGGACGCGGGCCCCGGGCCTCGGCACCGGCCTCTCGCCTTCGACACCGAGCTCGTCAACATCGGCGGCGACTTCGACGCGGCGGCCGGCGTGTTCCGCTGCCGCCTGCCCGGCGCCTACTTCTTCTCCTTCACGCTGGGCAAGATGCCGCGCAAGACGCTGTCGGTAAAGCTGATGAAGAACCGCGACGAGGTGCAGGCCATGATCTACGACGATGGCGCGTCGCGTCGCCGCGAGATGCAGAGCCAGAGCGTGATGCTGTCCTTGCGGCGCGGCGACGCCGTGTGGCTGCTGAGCCACGACCACGACGGCTACGGCGCCTACAGCAACCATGGCAAGTACATCACCTTCTCTGGCTTCCTGGTGTACCCCGACCTCACTCCAGACGGCGATCCGGAGCTCTGAGGCTGGGCAAAAAGGGGCCAGGGGACAGGATCACGGGCGGATGCGGGGCGCATGCGAGCCGGGCCGCCCGGACACCCCCGCACTGGACTCTGCCAATAAAGTGCACCTGTGCCGTATCCACCGCGCCTGCGCTGTCACTTGTGTTTTCCGCTGTCTGGGGCACACTGACCTCTGTGGCCAGCAGCTGGGTAGGGATCGGGCCTCGAGGTTGAGGAGTGGGAATCTGAAGCAGTACTCACCTATCCTGTGGTGGGCTGCACCATGGTCCCTGTTCAGTGTGCCCCTCTGATGTTTTTCCTGGTATATTAGGGATTGAATCCAGTCCTTGGCGCTGAGCTACATCCCATCCCCCCACATCCCTCTTGTATTTTGTATTTTGAGACAGGTCAGAGGAAATCAATACATTGCCCAGGCTAGGCTTGAATTTGTGATCCTCTTGCCTCCCTGAGTGCTGCGATTACCAGGTGTGTGTCACTGCACCTGTTGACTTATGACCTTATTTTTTTTTTTAATTTTTATTTATTGGTCTTTTTGAGACAGAGTCTTGCTATGCAGTTGGCTGGCCTTGAGCTCACCTTGTAGCCCAGGCTGGTCTCGAACTCACAACAGTCCTCCTGCCTCAACCTCCCCAGTGCTGGGATTACAGGCGTGAGCCACCACTCCCGGCTTGATTTACGACCTTATTCTAAAGCCCTGCTGATTCCTGTTTAGGACAAGGTAGAATTTCCCAATATCCAGCTAGGCTAGAAGGAAACAGCATGGTTCCTCGAGTAAGGTGTAGGAATAGGATGAAGAGTTGATACTTGGCTGTCCAGCCTGCTAACCTCTGGGATGGGGAGGACAGTATGACAGAATGGGGGTTAGAGGCAGTAGAATGACACAAGCCTCAGTATGCCAAGCAGAATCTTTTATGGGAAGAGCTACATCCAGGGCTCCACCCACCCAACCTCCCTCAGCTGCCTGGGTGGCTCAGCCCCTTTCCAGCTCATTCTTCCTGACACATTCATTGATGGCTTGCTGATGTGGAACCAGTCAGTTTTCCTCCCTACCCAAAGACAATCCTCTTCCACCTGCTTTCCTCCCCTCCACAGACTGACATTTGAGAAGTCCACTCTGTGCTCCAGCACAGCTGGGGGACGGCATGCTGGGGGTGGTGGTGGTGGCAGAGTCTTGGTTAGGCTTGAGGGGACTATGGAAATTAGGACTGGGTGCTAGGACTCCACAGGGCCTCTCTCAGATTGCCTGCCAGCCAGGAGTTGGAACATCAGATTTGAGCTTGCTTGGAGCAGTTCCCCTTTCCGTCACTTAAACACACTTCTCAGTCCTGATGCCTGGCTCCCACACTTGTGCATTCACACACACTGCTAACATGCCCTGCCTTTAGCTGCCTGCCACCTAGATCCAGGCCGTGGACTTTCTGCCTTCAGGGTCCAGGAAACAGGGCAGAGTGGGTAAGTATCAGGGCAGGGGTATGAGGGTGCAAGCCAAGCAAAAACCAGATGTCAAAAGCCCCTGCCCGGGGTGGGCCTGGCTCAGGTTGAGAAGTGCCAGGAGGAGGGAACAGCAGGTGAAAGGGAGGGATCAAGGGATAGAGTTGAGGGTGGAGGCCTAGGGCCCCAGTGAAGGGGGCTGGCCTTGGGGACAGAAGCCCTTGCACAGGTCCCAGAGCACTTCCTGTGTCAGGAGGGTGAAGACATGTACCCAGCGACCCCTCTCCTCAGCCTCACTGGCTGCGTGGAGCCAATAGATGCAGCTCAGGCCTGTGAGGAGCAGTTGCTGGAGGTCTGCAGGGCTAAGGGGAGGCCCCTCCCGCAGGTCCTGGAACTGCTGCAGCCGCTGTTCAGCACCTTCCAAGTCCCTGGGCACGAGCTGCTGCAGGAGGAGCCTGAGGCGGCGGCCTGGCCTTGTAGACGCCAGTTCCTCATCCCGGATCTTCAGCTGCCCTGTGATATCCAGCTCCAGCCCAGCCCAGAGCAGCTGCAAGAAGAGCTGTTTCAGGGATGGCAATGGCAGGGGACAGAGCAGAGAGCAAGAGGAGACCAGCGGGGCGGAACCAGGCACAGAACCCAGGCTGGACTCCCACCACCCCAGCAGCCCCATGCTGAGACGTCCCACTTCCCAACCAGAGCTTAGGGACCTCTGAATGCTGCACCCCCATGTCCCAGGCTGGAGAGTGACCTCGAACATCACTTCTGGGGCCTCTGGCTCCTGCAGGCCACCTCCCATGTTGGTGCTGTCCGTGGGCTGCCCTGGAGCAGCAGAGAGGCGTCAGGCCTTGCCGCCCTCCATCCTGAATACCCCAGTGCTCCTCAGCTGCCAGGAGGGTCCCTAGTGGCTCATCCTCTAGGAGTGCCAGTTCAGCACTGTCCCCTGTGTACACAAACACACTGACATCCACACTCCCAGGCATGGCCCTTGGGACTCCAGAGAATCACACCAAACCCTATCACCATTTGGGCAAATGGCCAGGGCTCTTCTTTAATTTGCACAGTGGCCTTGGTAGAGTCCTGAGCCAAAGGGCCTCAGGACCCTTTCCTTCCCTCCTTCCCTCCCAGCAGACACCAGGGGACAGGGTGACCTCAAAAGATGTCAGTGGCCCTCCATAAAGGACAAGGCCCTCTTTGGGAAGGGCCTTTTTGCTGGCTCAATATTGTATGATGTGTAAAAAGGAGAGGATGGACAGGGCCGTTTCCTGTCCCTGCCCTGTGGTGCTGCTTCACCCTTGCAATGACTGTCCCCAGGCCAGGAGACCCTGCTGTGGACATCAGCTGGAAGGAGCCCAGGGCCTGGAGTCTAGAGCCAGGTCACCCAGGGCTGTCTCCACAGGCTTCGTGTGAACTTCCTCGGTTCTGGAGCTGAGATCCTTCAGTCTGGTCCCCACCAGCCCACAGTTGTCTGCCCTTCAAAGGCACTGTCCCCTGAAGCCCTGTTACCTGCACGGTGCTGGGTCAGAGTCACCTCAGGGAGGAGACGAACAGTAGCCACCAGATAAAGCAGAGTCCGCAGTGTCCCAGCCATGCCTGACCACGTCCCAAGTCTTACGCGCTCCAGCAGCTCCGGCTCCTGATCTACCAGCCACACGCCACACTCCCAGCTTTCTATCAGCTGCTCGGGCTCTGCTGCTGTGTGTCAGGCTTCAGGGTGGGGCTAGCTGTGGCCTCACCACTTGCCAGGGCTCCTTCCACGCCTTAGGAGTAGGGAATCTGCTTTGGCAGTTAGCCGCCACTCCTGCCAAGATGGGCGGGATGTGGATAATGGGGAAAAAAAATGTGTGTGGTAGACAGCTTTGGCTCTGCCCTCCCTGCACAGGAAAGACCCCAGGCAGTAATCCCACCTTCTTGTCTTCGCTCTCAAACATCTCACTTGTAAGTCAGGCCTGACACACCAAGCCTGGCACACTCTAGGAGCCCTTCGGCCATCACGCATCAGCTGCGGAGCTGTCCTTCGGTTGCACAGCCAAGTGCTCCCCCGATGGGCCACAGGCCTCAAGCGGCCAGCTGGGAGCTGTCTGCAGGCAGCACAGCCTGCACCCCAAGTGCTTTCTGTCCCAGCCTTGGAACCGTCTCCCTTTGCTAGCAGCATTCTTAGCTCTTAGCCTGAGAATGGTGGCCTATTGCGTACCAGAAGCAGACACAGGGTTTGAGACTAGAGAGGAGCTGAGATCGCTGACCTGGCCCACTGCTGGCTCATGGAGAACGCTACATAGGTAGGTGACAAGAGATGGGCTTCCTTAGAGATGCCACACTCTGCTGAGGTGGCAGCTGTCTCCAGCAGAGACTCCTCAGTTCTCAGTGGGGCCATGCCACACCATCCTCAACCTTATGCACCATGAGTGCTAGAAACAAACACCTGGGCCAGACATGGTGGTGTGTGAATCGCTGTAAGCTCAAGGCCAACCTAAGCTATACAGCAAGATCTTGTCTCAAACAAAAGAAATGTACCCTAGGCCTGCAGGCAGCCAAAAACTTGCTACCAAGGCCCATCTCAGCCTCCCTGCTTCCAGGGCAAGTTCTCTGCGGGAGCAGGAGAACCCTCCCTCGCCTCTGCCCACTCAGCACACACAGGAAGCATAAGTCTAGGTAGGAATTTATTTACAGACTCCATCATGGGCAGGCAGGGTGCTCTCCAGGATCCACATGCCTCACGAGAGTTACTTGGCTTCAGGCTTCTTCTGGTCTCCGGCTTGGAGCTGGGGACTTGCAGGGGGCTGGCGGTAGGCAGGGAAAGTCTCCCACGGGCTGTTCAGGTCGAACTTGCGGAACTCCTGGGCCAGCTCCACTGGCTCGGCCACCACACGCTTCACCTCCTCATCATAGCGCAACTGCAGAGCACAAGGCAGGTGTGGGTTGCTACTGAGAAGTGCCACAGGGGACTCCAGCCTCTGGCCCTCTGTCTTTATTTTTTTCCTAAAGCATGATTTCACTATATAGTCCAGGTTGGCCTTAACTCACTATGCAGCTCAGACTGGCCCTGAACTTGTGGTTATCCTCCTGCCTCAGCCTCCTGGGTGCTGGGATCACAGGTGTCACCATGCCCAGCTATATCCTTGACTCATTTCAGCCTCTTTCCAAGCCCTGTCATAAGTCCTCATCCACATCACATTGATTATCAGGTCATGATATAGCTAGGCTCTACCATCTTGGCAACAAGCACTGCCAGCCCCATCAGATGCCCTGCCAACACTTCCCAGGCATCCAGAGTGGGGCAAAGAAACACTCTCCCTTGAGGCCTCATGGTACACTGTGTCTTTCAGGGTGCCCTGCTCATCAGTACGACCATTACCATGGCCTGTATTGGCCGAGGTCAGTGTAACAGGCTCAACACATGCAACCTGCAAGTGCTGGTACTGTGACAATCATGGAATTACAGTCCAGTAAAGTAACTTGGTGCAGCTTACAAAATGCAGCTGGCACTTGGATCCCAGGCCCAGGCTACAGGCTACCACCATCCACAGACCATGCCCCCGCCAGGCCTAGGCCCCTCAGGTTCTTGAGCCTATCACCCCACTCCATGGCTCCTACCTCAACATAGCCAGACAGGGGGAAGTCCTTCCGGAACGGATGTCCCTCAAAGCCATAATCCGTCAGGATCCGCCTCAGGTCAGGGTGGTTAGTAAAGAAGACTCCAAACATGTCCCAGACCTGGAAAGGAGAAGTACTTGGTCAAACAGTCCAGCAGGGCTACGAGGGGCTCAGCCCTGTTCCCCTGAAGCTGCAGCTCAGGCCCAGAGTCAGGGCCCAGCATGCCCTCTAACTCACCTCCCTCTCATACCAGATGGATGCCTTGAACACCGAGACTGAGGACTCAATGGGTGTCAGCTCATCTGTGTAGGTCTTTACACGGATCCGAGAGTTGAAGCGTAGGGATAGCAGGTTGTAGACTATCTACAGAGAAGGGGCACAGGAGGACCAAGGTGGAGCAACCTGAGGGGTTGCAATGGGAATTTCTGGGGAGAGCATTCCTTGGGAGAACACAGGGCGGGTTAGGGTTCCACCCTTGATCCTGTCTTCCGTTTGGTTTGGTTTGGTTTTCAGAGATAGGTTCTCACTATGTAGTTCAACTCACTAGGGGCCTTGAACTCACTGTATAGCCCACACTGGCCTTAAACTCACGGTAACCTTCTTGTCTCAGCCTCCTGAGTGCTGAGCTGACAGATATGCGCCACCACACAGCCCTGCCTTCTGTGTGATGCTCATAACTACAACTTAAACATACCTCATGGCTGGAAAGCTTTCTCATGGTACACCAGGTGTTTTACATGGTCGACCTTTGATCACACTGACTTCAAAGTTGTTTTGGTTTCCTGGCTTAAGATGGGCCAATTATGATTACTGCTGGCTTTTTCCTTTTTTCTTTTTCCTTTTAGGATGAAAGTGGATGCTCTCATTTAATATCTTTGTGTGTGTGTGCACGTATGTGTGTGTGCACATTGTGTGTGTGCACGTTGTGTGTGTGTGTGTTCCCAAGGCCTTGTGCATGCTGAACCTCTGCTCTACTACTCTGCTAGAAATGGCAAATCTTTTACAGCTTTCAATGATACAAACAGCTGCTGTGGCATCTGTGCCATGGGCTCACCACCATCACACTAAGCTATCCCCCAGACCCTACTATCTCATTTTTAATTGCTTCTTTGGCCATTCTTGAGTCTTTCTTTTGAGTAATTCCATCTCTAATGAAATCAGCATCTCAAAGCCACTAAGATAAAAATCCTCCTCCAATATCAAATGACTTTCTAATTCTGTCAGTTAACAAAAAAACCCAGGGCCACCATGATAAATTCTAATGGACAACAAAATACCAAACTTGGCACACAGGGTACGTTTTCGACATCTAAAATTGCTGGGCACATAGAGGCCTTGCCTTTCCTCCACTTCAGCAGTGCCTCCAGCCCCTCCCGCCATCACCTACACTTAGTTTCAGATTGGAAAACTAAAGCTCAAAACAATCAAACAGCATTGAGCATAGTGACTCATACCTGCAGTCCCAGCTACTCAATAGCCAAGTGCAGGAGATCCTCTGAGCATAGAAGTTCAGGACTGGCCTGAGCAATAAGCCAGGCCCCATCTCAAGCCAACCCGAAGAGAATGTTTGAGGTCACAACCAGCTAGTAGCATAGCCAGGATTCACACTTGATCTACCTGAGTCTCAAGCCCTAGTTTAACTGCTGTGTCCTGTGCAACCTGAAACTGCACCTAAGGAGGTTATGGTTCCCATAAGCACCTACTGCTCTGAAAATGTTCTGTCCCTTTCTTACCCTTCTTCGTCCTACTCTTGACTGACCTCAAAACGATTCTGCCGAGTTGGGATGTCCACTGCTGTCAAGTCAGCCAAGGATTTGAACTGTGCATTGGAGTGATCCTTGAGGAAGGTGAGCACCGGGATGACGCCGTCAGGATGGATACAGACCTCTAGCTCATTGAAGCAAGTCACCTGCAGACAGAGGGAGAGGAAGGCATAGTTATGCAAGAAGCAGCCAACTCCAGCAGGGCTGACTGGGTTTAGGGGAGAGAAAAGCAGCCCAAGTTTGGGATGGAAGGGTCTGTGGTCTTTGCAACCAGGCTGTTCACTCCCACACACCAAGAACACGGCTGTTTCCTGATTCAGATCCCAACGACTGGAATGAGCATTACCTGAACTTGCTGGACATACTTGGGCAGGATTTCAGCCACATACTCGCCAAAAGCTGAGAGCTGCTTATGGGTCACCGCATCTTTCGGCCTAACAGTGGCTGAAAGAGAAACCATATTCATCAGAGGAACAGAGAAGGTGGCAAGCAGGTATCTGTCTTATGGGTCTGTAAAGGTTGTCAGCTCTGAGCAAAGTTCGCTAGAACCTTGTTCTTTTTTTTTTGGTACCGGGGATCAAACTCATGATCTTGTGCTTGCCAGGCAGGTGCTTATGCTGCTGAGCTAAATCCCCAGCCCAGTTCCCTAGAACCTTAAAAAAGGTGCAGGTAGACAGATCCTCTTCCAGGGACCAGAAAGTAAGGAAAACCTAGGGAAATGCCACCTCCCCTACACAGGAAAAACTCAGTGCAGCCAAGCTATCTGCCTCTTCTTGAACCTGTCCCATAGCTGTCCCTTCACATTTCTGCTAACACAGCACGGTATCAGCTCTTCTGCTGCGCTATACTTCTTAAACAGAGGACTCAGAACTAGAATTTTTTTGTTTTTGCTTTTTAAACCTCCTTGGAATTTGGCCCAAACCATGTTTTCAAGGTAAGAACCTCAGAACTTAAGAGCCCTCACAGATAATCTTACTGAAATGTTTGTATGTGTTGATTTATGTTAACTATCATATAACTATGATGTTCAGTATCTCCATATACCCATTCACACAGCCCTAAATCACTGGTCATTTGCATATGACATGCTTGGGAATAATACTGAAGAGTTCTTTGCCACTGACAGTGGGAAGACCTGCTCTTTCACTAGGTCTGTAACATTGAACAAGTTAGTTATCTGGTCTGTTTTTTCTTTTTTTTTAATCAGGTCTGTTTTTTTTTTTTTTTTTTTTTTTTTCTTTTTATCGGTACTGGGAATCGAACTCAGGACTGCATGCTTGCAAGGCAGGCACTTATGCCGCTGAGCTAAATCCCCATCCCCAATCTGGTCTGTTTTTGAGACAGGATCTCACTATGCAGCCCAGGCTGGCCTCGAAATTGCTGTACTCCTCCTGCTTCAGCCTCCTGTGTGAGCTGGGATTACAAGTGTGCACCACCAGGATGGGCTGTTTTTTGTTTGTTCTCTTGATCTGTCATATGAATAGTAAAATACCATCTATTTCATAAGACTGCTGTGAAAATCAAGTAATATTCTTCACTCAAAGCTTTCGTGAGGTGCTTGTCCTACAGTGAGCATACAATTTAACGTGAGCTACTATTCTCACGGCTCTCTGAGGAAGCACAAGAATTTTGATTTCTGTTCTCAAAACGCTGCCAATTTAATCATGAGAAGAGGGTCACGAAAACACATAGGGGGCAACCAAGGCCATAACCGAGAGGTTTAGGACACGGGGAAGGCTCGCTTCGGCATGTAAGGTGGAGAATAATCAGGTCCCCAAGGACAAGCAGAGATCTACAGGACACAGGGCAGGGCACCTCTGAGCAAGGGCGAGCATCAGGCCAAAGAGAACGAAGGGCCCCGGGCGACAGGAGCGCTGCCCGCACATACTCACGGCGCGAGTCGGCCGCGGCGCTCTCCGTCCTCACCCACTGCAACAACGCCGAGGGTCGCCCAGCCCCTGCCCGGAAAAGAAGAGGCACAGACCTACTGGTGAGGCCTAAGGAGTCCTCCGCATTGCGTGCCTCACTGCCTCCGACTCAGGCCTCGGCCAACTGACCCCCGCTTACCCCCGGCCACCGCTCTGGCCCCCACGAGCCCTCGCCACCAGACCCTGGCCGCAGCGGCCGCCATTTTTCCCGGATGCAGACCCGGCAGCCGGGGAAGGGCCCACAGGACACGGAGCCCCAAGGGCACGGACCGAAAGCGGAAGTGTGTAACGGATCTTCTTCCGGGCGGGCGCTGGATCGTAACCACAGGTTCCGGGCACCTTAATGAAAGGAGGGAACGCAGGTGAGGCGGCTAGATCGGCAGGTTGGGAAACCGTGAGGTGAACGAAGCCCTAGTTCGGGAAGAGGAAGGGGCGAAGGCGAAGACAGTAAGAAACAGGCAGGTTAGAGGAGGAGAGGGGGCGGGTGTTCTGGGTTTTCCATTTCACACCCCTCCCCCGCTACCCAGCTAAGCTTTAGAGTAGGGCGGACGGTGGAGGGGGCTGGGAGCGGTTTCCTTGACGACCGTTTCTCAGGCGACACCGGGAGGAGTGGAGACCCCGCGCCAGGCGATGGGCTTCCGTGTGCCCCGAGCTGGGGACAGTAGGGCTCTGTGCCGACCTCCGGGACGGAGCTTTAGAGAGTCAATAAGGCGAGCGAGTAAGGGGAGGGATGGAAGTTCAGAAGAGAGCCAGAGGATTGAGTCGTCCCGGGCTTCGCCTCCCATTGCAGGATCTGGACTCCGCGTGCGGGGGTTCGGGGGACAGGGACGCGGGCGGTATTTTTTTTCCCCCTGGTTCTGCTTCTCGTTGACCTTGCTAGTTTTATGCCCAAATTATTTAGTTAGTGAAGCTTTTAAGATCATAGGCGGCCTCCAGCCCTTTGCTTTCATGTTTTGGCCTAAATCCCAAGCCTTTTTGTTACATCATGGAAAAAGAATATTTGATGCACTCTCAGGGAAACCAACAAAGTTGGGACTTCTATTGATTTTCTTGGAGGAAGTCCACAGCTGCAGGAAAACGAACTTGGGTTTAGTTGAAGGAGTCTGGCAGGGATGTTACTGGCCTGGCCAGCACTAAAGCCAGTCTGGCCCATTTTGGTCTCAGTTTCTGCATCTCCCTTCCCAGGTTGGACAGTTCAGAGTCCCAGGCTGCAACTGTGAATTTCCCAAACTCCTCCTCGTGGTGTTGCTTTGCCAGCAACTGACAGAGAAGTTGACCATCATGGAGTCACCAGAGGAGCCTGGAGCATCAATGGATGAGAACTACTTTGTAAACTACACTTTCAAAGATCGGTCCCACTCAGGCCGTGTGGCTCAGGGCATCATGAAGCTATGTCTGGAAGAGGAGCTCTTTGCCGATGTCACTATTTCTGTGGAAGGCCGGGAGTTTCAGCTTCACAGGCTGGTTCTCTCTGCTCAGAGCTGCTTCTTCCGGTCCATGTTCACCTCTAACCTGAAGGAGGCTCACAATCGGGTGATTGTGCTGCAGGATGTCAGCGAGTCTGTTTTCCAGTTGCTAGTGGACTACATCTACCATGGCACTGTGAAGCTCCGGGCAGATGAACTGCAGGAAATTTATGAGGTGTCAGACATGTACCAGCTGACATCTCTCTTTGAGGAATGTTCCCGGTTTTTGGCCCGCACAGTGCACGTAGGAAACTGCCTGCAGGTTATGTGGCTGGCGGATCGGCACAGTGATCCCGAGCTCTACACTGCTGCCAAGCACTGTGCCAAGACCCACTTGGCCCAGCTGCAGAGCACAGAAGAGTTTCTTCACCTGCCACATCACCTCCTCACCGATATTATCTCGGGTAGGCTGAGGGAGGGACCACTTGATCATGACGCTCTATGGGTTTCCTCATCAGGAGAAAGGAACTACAAGCTTTCTGCTAGGGATTTAGGTTGGGAGTGAGATTCACTGTGGAGTTGGAATTCAGTGTAGCTGCTGTCAGGGAGGGAGTGCTTTATAGAAACAGCAGCCAGGAAAAGAAAAGCAGCGGCACTTTCACATCACAAAATGTAGTGAGGAAGCCAAATACGATGGCACATCTATAATCTCAGCACAGTAGGAGGATGAAGCAGGAGGATCCAAAGCTTGAGCAATTTATCAAGACCTTGTCTAAAAATAAAAAGTGGACTGGACTATAGTTGAGTTTGAAGGTCCTGAGTTCCATCCCCAGTACAGAAGAGAATAATCTTTTTTGTGTCTAAGTGTATATGTGTGTGTCTCTGTGTGTGCTTATGGGTCTAGTCTGATACACAGTGGTAGTCTAATAAAGTGGTTCTTTGAATTTCTCCTTGGATTTGTTATTAACTGTGGCTTTCCTCTGGCTCTCACAGATGGAGTTCCATGTTCCCAGAACCCAACAGAAGCAATAGAAGCCTGGATCAATTTCAATAAAGAGGAAAGAGAGGCTTTTTCAGAGTCACTCAGAACCAGCCTAAAGGTAAGGTGGAGTGCTTAATAACTGGGGCAGTGTAATCTATGCATTCCAGGTGTCAGTTGGTCTGGCATCTAATAGCTGTCGAATAAATGATCTCTGGGTGAAGTTGATAGGAGCTGGGAGGAGAATATGTCTGTGATCACAGAAGCCACCAATTTATGAACTTCAAAGGTTTTTTTTTTTTTGAGATAGGGTTTCACTATGCACACTACGCAGTTCAGGCAGGGCTTGAACTCACTTTGTAGCCCAGTCTGACCTCGGACTTGCAGCAATCCTCCTGCCTCAGCCTTCTGAAGGCTAGAATTACTGGGATACACTACCACATCTGGCTCCTAAGTTCCTTTTTGGTTCATCCTTTTCTCATTTTTTTGAGACAGTGTCTTCTTGTGCAGCTTGCCCTTTGAACTCACTGTGTCGCCCATGATGGCCTCAAAAAAATCCTGACCTTCCGGCCTCAGCTTCCCAAGTGCTAGGATTTAATGTGTGTGCCACCACACCCAGCTTCAAAGCTCCTTAAAGGAACTCTTTTTCTTTTCATCAGTGAGTTAAGAATCTTTGGGCTGAGGGACTAGCTCAGTGGTGCTTGCTTAGCAAGCATGAGACCTTCGATTTGATCCCTAGCACCTCAAAAAAATAACTCCTGGCTGGTCTGATGGCAGTGGGTTATCAGAACTTAATAATATTAGTGTCACTAAAGTTGGTATACCACCCCCCCACTGCTAAATTTGACTGACTTTAAAAAAAAAATTAAAAAAAAAAAACTCCTTTTCCTGAAGCATGGGTTTATAATTGTTTTTAACAAGCTGTAAGCATAAGCCCAATCCATTCCCACCCCAGTGTGAAATGTGTCAAGGAAGGTGGGTAACTAAGGAGGCAGGACTAGAAACAGGCAGGGACAAGAGTGGGTTCGAATGAGGCGCATACATGAGGCCTGCTCCTCTAGAGCTGTCTAGCTGAGCCTTCCCTGAGAGCTCCTGTTGCTCATATTTTGATGTTGCTGACAGGAAATCGGGGAGAACGTGCACATTTACCTCATCGGGAAAGAGGCCTCACGCACACACTCCCTGGCCGTGTCCCTGCACTGTGCGGAGGACGACTCCATCAGTGTCAGTGGCCAGAACAGTCTGTGCCACCAGATCACGGCGGCCTGCAAGCACGGTGGGGACCTGTATGTGGTGGGAGGCTCCATCCCAAGGCGCATGTGGAAGTGCAACAACGCCACAGTGGACTGGGAGTGGTGCGCGCCACTGCCGCGGGACCGGCTGAAGCACACGCTGGTGTCCGTGCCCGGCAAGGATGCCATCTACTCACTCGGGGGCAAGACGCTGCAGGACACCCTCTCCAATGCCGTCATCTACTACCGCGTGGGTGACAACGTGTGGACGGAAACAACCCAGCTGGAGGTGGCAGTGTCAGGGGCTGCTGGTGCCAACCTCAACGGGATCATTTACTTACTCGGGGGTGAGGAAAATGACCTGGACTTCTTCACCAAGCCTTCCCGACTCATCCAGTGTTTTGACACCGAGACAGACAAGTGCCACGTGAAGCCCTACGTGCTGCCCTTCGCGGGCCGCATGCATGCAGCTGTGCACAAGGATCTGGTGTTCATTGTGGCCGAGGGGGACTCCTTGGTGTGCTACAACCCGATGCTGGACAGCTTCACACGGCTCTGTCTGCCTGAGGCCTGGAGCTCGGCCCCGTCCCTCTGGAAGATCGCCAGCTGCAATGGCAGCATCTATGTCTTCCGGGACCACTACAAGAAGGGGGATGCTAACACCTACAAGCTTGACCCTGCCACATCAGCAGTGACTGTTACCAGGGGCCTCAAGGTGCTACTCACCAGCCTGCAATTCGTGTTGGCCTAAGGCAGGGCCGGGGGAGTGGCTCACTCCTCCACCCTCCAGCCAGGCAGGGAGAGTGAGTCTCCCTCACTCACCACCATCCAGCCAGACCCCAGGTCCCTGAGCCCAGTGCCCAGAAAGTGGTCTTTGGGACACTCCTAGGAAGGCAGCGTCCCATCTTCCCCTCATCCCCTAGGGTAACCTGCTGGGAGTTTTCTCACACTGCTGCTCTGCTGGCTGTGTGAACCCATTCCTCTGCCCTCCCTGCACCTTGGGCCTCGCCTCTGCTGAAACCCCAGGCACAGTCCCGCCTCCTGTGAAGTAGACAGCCCCAGTGCCAGTGCAGAAGGACAGCCCTCCTTTCCCTGAAGGCTGTGGCACAGCTAACAGAGCTTTTCCCTCAGAGAATGAGGGCCAAGGTCTCCCTCCCAGGTTTGGATGGGAGAAGAAGCTGAAGGTGTCCTTCACCAGCCAGGGTCAGCTATTGAATTCAGTCATTTGTCCTAGTGTTTTTCCATCCATCCATCTGCAAAACGACTTCTGTTTTTTTGTATCTCATACCAAGGGTGAGTGGAAACAGAAGGAATTATTTCTAATTGACAGCAGAAACTTTTTCAAACTCAATATAATATATAAGGTGTCTGTTCTTTTCAAGGTTCTAAGCTAAATCAAGAGCTATAAATACATGTTCATACAAATAAAGGTTTTTGAAGGTATGTGTGGGACTGTGTTGAACCCCAAAGGGGAACTGATGTCAACCCTGAGTTCCCAGTCCTGCTGCATCCTGCATCCTTGTGTAAGTGTACACCATTGTTCCAGAAGCAGTGGGATTTTGACAGAGGCAAGAGCCAGAGCTTGGTCTTTCTCTTTCTCTAGTGTTAAATGTCTAAGCCAGGCCTTGTGATCACACCCATAATCCTGGCACTTAGGAGGCTGAAGCGGGAGAATTGCGGCCAGTTCACGGCCAGCCTGAACAACATGGCAAGATCTATGTCCTGCCAACTCAACCCCCTGCCCTCAAAATCTTGAGTTATGATGCTAAATATCATTAGGTGCAACATTAGCTACACAATAGGTTTTTGTTTGAAATTAGTATTTTGTTTTTTTTTAACCTTAAGAAAATAAACTTTAGAGGCTGGAAATTTAGCTCAGCAGCATAAATGCCTGCTTGGCAAGTGCAAGGTCATGAGTTTGATCCCTGATTCCACAAAAAAAAAAAAAAAAAGAGAGAAAGAAAGAAAAGAAAATTTAGGCACACAGTCTCTTCCTTTCCAGCCGTACAGCAGTATTATTTGAGGATAATGAAACCAGGCAATGGAAGCAGTTACCCATCACTTAGCACATTTCCGTCGTGTCAAATCAGCAGACTCCCCTCTGGCCCTGTAAACATTTGTTCTTTATCAAGTGGAGTTGTCTGGAGTTCTTTCTCAGCCACAAAGCTCATGTAAGGCTCTGATGTGTCACATTTGGAGAGTTGGCCTTGTAGAACTCCCTGAGGACCTCCAGCTGGCCATTCGTGATGTGGATGTGGGACCGGATGCTGGTGATGACTTTGATGGCCTCCTCTGGGCTCCAGTTGTGCACCTGAATCAGTACAGGCCAGGTGTCAGTGGAGAAATGAAGGAGCAGCTTCCAGAGGACTCCCAGAATTTTGAAAAAACAAAACAAAACAAAACACAAACCCTCCATTTTAGGGGGTTTTCATATCCATGCTCTATTGCCAGGTGTGGTACTTGGAAGGCTGAGGCAAGAGGGCTTCTTGAGCCCAAGAGTGGCAACTTAACAAGACTCTGTCTTGTAAGGCAAGGGTAGCTTGGCATAGAGCACTTACCTGAGCATGTTCGAGGCCCTGGGTTCAATCCCTATACTCAGCAAAGAAGACTGAATGACTGTATGGCAGATGTTTCTCTGCAGCCCATTACCATGGCCAGAAAGAGTATTAGTTTATTTAATTTCGTGGTACCAGAGATTGAACACAGGGCCCACTGTCTCCTCCTCTTATATTATTTTGAGACAGGGTCTTTCTAAGTTGCCCAGGCTAGGCTCAGACTTGAGCTCTGCCTGCCTCAGCCTGAGTGCTGGGATCACAGGTATGGACCACCATGCCAGGTTTAGCCCTTGACACACTCTCATTTAAGTTTCCTTATGAAGTCTGAGGAAATCGAATTGGAGAGAAGAATGTGCTTGTGTCCCATCCTGGCAGGTAGGTGGCAGAGCCGAGATGAGCCGACCTGCAAAGTTCAGGTGTGGTGCCTGGTACACACCTCCCCAACAGCCTGAAATCAGGCAGTGGCTGTCTGCAGCCAGGCCTGTTGGCCAGCCCTGCCCACAAAGTTCCAGCTGCCGTGCAACACCTGCCTACCTGGATCAGATATGCGGCCACCATGGTGGCACTTCTGGAGCGGCCAGCTTTGCAGTGCACGTAGACACACTGGCCCAGGGACCGGTACTTGAGAGCAAATTGTACTCCTTTCTGGAGGTTTGCCAAGGTGGGGATCCCCAGCATGTCCACTGTGCTGAGTCGTAGCTGCTCAACACCCACGTTCTTCCACTCCTGAGACAGGGTCATCGGCAGAAAAAGACAAGGAAAGGAACCTGTGAAGTAGGAAGGGGACTCCCAGGGCAGCAGGGCCACAAGGCAGCTTCAGGCTTTACTGCAGTGTGAATGCATAACCTTTCCTGTTTTCTTTAAACCAAGTATGGTGCACAGCTGTAATCCCAGCCCTCAGGAGGCTGAAGCGGGAGCATCACAACCAGCTGGAGGTGAGCCTGGGCTATATAGCAAGAGCCTGTCTCAAATAGTTAACTAAATAAATACATAGAAATAAACATAAAATAAATATATAATAAAAGCTGGACATTGTGGTATATTCCTGTAAATTCTCATACTTGGGAGGCTGAGACAAAAAGATTGCAGTGATATCCAGGCCAGCCTGGACTACATAGAGACTTGAAGGCCAGTGTGCACTACAAAGGAAACCCTGTCTCAAAAAACTGAAAAATAAATAAATATAAAAATAAAAAGCAGGCTGGGGGTTTAGCTCAGTGATGTAAGTGCCTGCTTGGCAAATGCAAAGTCATGAGTTCAAACCCTGGTACCAAAAAAATGAAAATAAATAAAAAGCTGTGGGGCTGGGGATATAGCTCAGGGGCATAGCACCTGCCTGGCAAGCACAGGGCTGTGAGTTCAATTTCTGGTACCAAAAAAGAACATAGTAAAGTAAATAAATAAAAAGCTAGGGGGCCAGGGATTTATTTCAGTAGTGTAAGCACCTGCCTGGCAAGCACAAGGTCATGAGTTTGATCCTTGGTACAAAAACAATAAAAATAAGTAAAATAAAAATAAAAAGCTGGGAATGTAGCTCAGTGTGAAGACTTGAAAACTGGCCCATCACCAGAAACCCCTGCAGGGCTGCTAAATACTCAGGCTGCTGCATGCCAGTGTCAGCGAGTGCCTTGGTCAGTCCTATGTAGGTAGCAATGTGCTATTTTAGCAAGACTTCTAGATGATCTCAAGTACCCAGATACACAAGAGCCTTTGCTTCGGATAACTCCTTGCTCGAGGGCTGAAATGGCACCATGAACACTTACCACTTTGGTTAAAGGACTCTCAGGATTCAGGGGGAACTCCCAGGAACTGCTACCCATTCTTTTCCAATGTGTGCCACAGGGCTGGGGATGCAGCTCAGTGACAGAGTGTGGGCTTAGCACATGTAAGGCATGTGATCCTCCTGCCTCAGCCTCCCCAGTGCTGGAACCATGGGTTCAAGCCAGAGCATGGAGAAGGGGTCAACTTTACTCTTAACTACCTTACAGTTTCTTTCCATCCTAGCTCTCTACTCCTCTCTCCAGCTGGGGGCACTGCATCGGGGAGACCAAGCTCCACTCCTCATTGATGAGAGATGGAGGGAGAGAGAGAGAGAGACAAAGAGCGCGATCTTAGGTCTCACATGTGCTACATTTGCATTTTACCACTCAGCTCTCAGCCATGAAATAACACTAAATAATATATTCTCAGTGTAAGGCACAAATATTTGTATGGTCTCTGAAAAGCTTAGCATGTGATGAGAGAATTTTGTTTTTGTTTAGTGATCCTGGAGGTCAAACCTAGAGCCTTGACACTGAGCTACAACATCCCCAGCCTGTCTAATTTTTAAAATTTACTTTTATTTTGAGACACAGTCTCTTTAAGTTGGCAAGACCGGGCTTCCCTTCTCTGCCTCTGTGGGAGTATGTACACCACCCTACACAGCCAAAATGATTTAGCAACAACAGATGTTACCTCTTCTAATACCCATTGCAGAAAGCTCCATAAGAAAGTGTTAACAGACGCCAGGTGTGGTAGCATACTCCTGTAATCCCAGCACTTGGGAGACTGAGGCAGGTGGATCGTTGCAAGTTCAAGAGCCCAGTTTGGGCTACAAAGTGAGCCCAAGGCCAGCCTAAACCGCATAGTATGACCCTGTCTCAAAAAGACAAAAAGACAAAAAAAAAAAAGCACTGACATGTAATGAAAATGAAGTTTCAGTCTGAACTGAACAGCATGGTGGATTTCCAACATCTCTTTTTTTGTTTTTCTTTCTTCCTTTGTCTTTTTGAGACAGGGTCACACTATGCAGTTCAAATTGGCCCTGAGCTCATTTTGTAGTTCAGGCTGATCTTAAATTCACAACAATCATCCTCCTGCCAAGTGCTGGGATCAGAGGTATGCGCCACCATGGCCCAGTTTCCACCATCTTTCACATGAATCCACCATCTCTTTCACATGAATGCAATAAGAAATCCCTCAGATCTTCTGCTGTAATCCCCCATGCAGGGCCTGACCCACCCACACTTGGTACTCACTGAGTGTTGACTGAATGGGCGCAAAAGAGGCTTTACAGTTTTAGCGACTAAAATTAAGAATATAATTTTGTGCATAAAGGAATAATCAGACTTTGTCAACTTATTCTGTTTTTGTTTTTGAGACAGGGTTTGACTATGTTGCCCAGGCTGGTCTCAAACTGCTTAGCTCAAGGAATTCTCTTGCCTGTCTCCTGGGTGCTGGGACCACAGCAAGTAGGAGGAGGGAGTCAGCCTTACTGAAGAGGCCCCTCTGGTTGCGGGCCATCCTGTCGGGTCTGTGCCGGAGGGTGCTGCAACCTGGTAGCCTAAAGTCCACTCTCGGCCTCCTGGGCCCTCACCTTGTAGCTGTTACACAGGAACCTGGTCTCGTACTCCTCGTTCATGGTGATCACGCCGCGCACGTTCTCGTCCTGGACCAGCTGCGGGCCACAGAGGGCTCAGCGGGACGCCAGGACCCCTGGACCCTGTTCCTCTCCCTGGCTCCTGTCCTCTGGCCACCCCCCCACCCCCGTGTCCCCATCCAGACAGGATGTCCCTGACCCCCGTCTCTGTCCTCCTGTGCCCCACCCCGCCTGCCACTTTCCTGTTTCCCGCCGGCCCCTCCTGCCCCTGTCCCCGTCCCGTGTCACCGTCCCACTCACCTTGCGTGTCAAGCTCCGCAGCGGCAGCGCGCCCAGCAGCACGGTGCCGTCGATGCGGTGGTACCAGGCGCGGTGGCCCGGGCCGTTCAGCATCCCACGGAGCACGGTGTAGAGCAGCGTCGGGTAGAAGAGCGCGCGGGCCAGGCCTGCGCCCAGCCACTCTGAGGGCGCCATCCGCCGCAGGGACGCGGGGACGCGAGGAAACCGGAACCGGCGCGTGCGAGGGAGCGGGCGGGACTCCGCCCCGGGGAGGGGACAGCGGAGCCGGAGGACACCCCGCCCCGGGCCGGGCGGGACGCAGGGGCAGAGCCCCGTGTAGGGAGAATGGAGGCGGCGCCCAGATTTCAATTCATTTATTTTCGCTTTACTCCTTGAAGTAGAGGCGCCTTGAAGTAGAGAGGGCTCTGTCTCAGTCCCTGTCCCGTCCGGGGCACAAGGGGACGCGGCGGCCTCCCCCACCTGCGTCCCCACGTCTCGGGCCTGCTCCCGCCCCCTGCCCACACACCGCGTGCACAGAGTGCGAGACGCGTAGGAAGGAAGAATGTTACTAAAAGCTGGCACTGTGCGTGGTGGCGCAGGCCTGTGACCACAACGGGAGGCTGTGACAGGAGGACTAAAGTTCTCTCGGAGCAGACTGGCACCTTAAGGATTTAGCAAAGCCTGTCTCAAAAAGCGGGGGCAGGGGCTGGGGATCAATACCCTGGGACCACCACCACCTTCCAAAAAAGGAGGGGGGAAGCTGGGGACGGAGCTCAGTGCGAACCCTCTGTACTACAATAAAAATTGGCATCCTATGTACTTTTTTTTTTTTTACTCAATGGTATTATGAATATTGTTCCATGTCAGTGCAGATAGGTGTAGATTAGATTATACTTTATACGTTTTTCCCCCTGGTTCTGAGGACTTAACCCAGGGTCTTCACACTGAACTGCATCCGCAGCCCCTTTTTTATTTTGAGACTGGGCCTCACTAAATTCCCCAGGCTGGACTTGAACTTGGGATCCTCCAGTTCAGCTTCCCAGAGTGCTGGCATCACTGGCAGGCGCTGCTACCCATGTCCTCTTCACATTTTATTTTGAGACAAGGTCTTGCTGAATTGCTCAAGTTGGCCTGGAATTTGCCATCCTCCTGCCCCAGGCTACCAAATAGTGGGATCGCACGCTGCCCACTGATGGGCTTGTGAAACCAGTGTGTGGAGACAATGAAACTCGCATGGTACCCCCAGTTTCTTCCTGTCCCTTTGTGGTGTGTGTGTGTGTGTGTGTGTGTGTGTGTGTGTGTGTGTGTGGTTTTATGCCTCTGAGCTGAATCTCTAGCCCCATTGCTTGCTTTGTCCCCCATCCTCATGCTTCATTTCATGTTGCTATGGCTCAGACTGGACTTGAACTTTGGGCCAGCCTCACCCTCTTGCCTGGCAACCACGGATCTACCATTTATTAATTATCACTTTTAGAATTATATATATAAATAGATGCGAAGATTTTAAATGTTTTAATGATTATTATTAAATTTCCCTCCAATATGCCATATCTACATGCACTGGGAGAGCCTGATTTTGTGTCTTTAGGTGGTATGTTCAAAAATACAGCAAGTGGCTCTTTCCATTCAATTCTTATGTTGAATTTCTCCTATTCAGAATCTCCCTAAACTGAATTATTAAACTGCTTTCATCCAACTAGGGTTGGGTGGGCCGTAAGATATATTTCATAATTGATATAATGTGCTATTTTTTGATACTTTTATGCTGATTGATGAAAAAGTTATTTTTGTTTGGCTGGGTTTTGGGACAGTTTATGTACCCCAGATTGACTTCAAACTCACAGTGATTCTCCTATGTGAGCCTTCCTAGTGTTGGAATTATAGTATAACAAAAAATGCACCCCCACACACTTCAGTTTCTTAGTTCTGGTTGCTTCTGTCCCTTAGAAATAGCTGGTCACTATGATATAGAGCTGGTCACTATGATGCACATTGTCAGGCCACAACTGACAAGCCATTCTGCTATACTTGCTGCTTACTTTTCTTGTATGAACCCTAAACCACCAGAGATCAGGGCCTGATATTTTGGGAATGATTCCAAATGGTGCCTGTTGACATAAATAAATCTGCCTCCAAATCCTGGGTGTCATTTCACCTTTTTTTCTACCAGAGATCAAACTCAGGACCTTGCATTTGCCAGGCAGGTGGTTATGCTGCTGGGTATCATTTCAGTGTCTCTGCTTCCTGATGCAATAGGAGTGTACCACCATGCCCAGCTCTAAATACTCGTGGCAGTATTCTGCAAATCTTAGGCCTTACCAAAAATGCATGTCTAGTATTTGCTTGATCCAGAATTTGTTTTTGGCCAGGTGTGGTAGGGCATGCTTGTAATCCCAGTACTCAGAAGGCTGAGACAGGAGGGTCACATGAGTTTGAGGCCAGTCTGAACTTTCAGGCTGGCCTTGAGCTCACTTTGTAGCCTAGGCTGGTCTTGAACTTGCAATGATCCTCCTGCCTCAGCCTCCCAAGTGCTGGGATTATAGGCATGAGCCACCATGCTTGGCACTCACCCAAATCTTGCTGTAGTCTTATTATTGGGTTCTGGGAACTCCCTAGAGAGGCCAGCTCTTCCTGTCTTTTTTTTTTTTTTTTTTTTTTTTTTGAGACAGGGTGTCACAATGTAGCCCATACTGGGCTCAAACTCACAGCAATCCTCCTATCTCAGCCTCCTGAGTGCTGGGATTACACGCATATACCACCACACCTAGGTCTCCTGTTTTGCTTTTGCTTTTTTTTTTTTTTTTTTTTTTTTTTAGCTCTTTCTGTCTTAAAGAACTGAACAATACAAGAATAAAAGGAAGCCAGGTTTTACACATGTATTGAAGGTAGTAGAAGAAATGTGCTCTGCAGAGCAAGTACAGGCCAACTTAAATTCATTTTTGTGTGTGTGCTGGGAATCAAACTCAGGACCTTGCACTTCCCAGGCAGGTGCTGTGCTAATGAATTATGCCCCCAGCTACAGGCCAATTTAGGAGAAATTTAGGAGCTGCAGGATGAGAAAAAAAATATATGGTAAACTCTGCAACTATCATCCTACATTATGTTATAGGCAGGCATAGGGACACACATCTGTAATTCCAACACTCAGGAGGCTGAGGCAGGAGAATCAGGAGTTGGAGCCCAGCCAGGGCGCATGGTGAGTCCAAGCCTACTCTGGATTACATAGTGAGACCTTGTCTCAAAAACAAAAACCGAAAAACCTGGCACTGTTAAAATCCACCTTATTTACCAATTCTGACACCAAGCAACTTCCCACTCTTTCCTTCAGTCAGAATGACCGTGAAAGGTAAATGTGAATCAATTCAGGACACTGAGGCAGTCATGACAGTGACACAAAAGACCACTTCTAGAGCTGCTGCAGAGAGCAACAAGAGTGAGGGAAGAAATATACCTCAAAGCAAGGGAGGAATTTCGAGAGGGACTAATGCCAGTATATCTTTTACCCTAATAAATTAAAACACTTTTAAACAGTCACTATATTTGTGATGTCTCATATTGCCTAACTTATTTATAGTTTCTGTTAGGGTTTTTTTGGTTCAGTTGAGAGACAGAGATAAGAAAGCTTCTTTTTTTTCTTTTTTTTTTTTTTTTTTGTACCGGGGATTGAACTCAGTACCTGGAGTTTGCCAAGCAGGGACTCACGCCTGCTGAGCTAATGCCGCCCCCCCCCCGTGATAAGCACGGGAAGGCTGCAGCAGATTGCAAGGACCCTCAAACACAGGAAGCTGGGGAACACCTCTTAAGGAGTTGGGCTGGGGGTGGAGACTGGATCGCGGTGCAGTGAGAGAATTGGAGGATCTTCCGCTTGCATGGAAACGAGCAGGAAGTTCATTTTGGGATTAGAAGAAGAACACGTAAGTTTGCTTTGGCTGGACACGAGGGTATAGGCGGCATGTTGGGTCACCACCATGGTGAGCCTAGCGGAGTCCTATAGGGGCCGAACCCATCAATTTCAGTATTCCAGAATATGTTTAGACACCATTTCTAATTCGGGTTATTTAGCCAGGTGTAGTGCGCACGCCTGTAAACCCAGCACTCAGGAGGCTGAGGCAGGAGGATTGCTGTATATATGTGACCTTCCTGGGCTGCAGAGTGAGTGTAAGGCCAGCCTGAACTGCATAGTGAGACTGTTTCAAAAAGACCAAAAGAGGGGCTGGAGATTTAGCTCAGTGGCATAAGCACCTGCCTTGCAAGCAGGCAGTCGTGAGTTCGATCCCCGGTACCGATAAAAATGAAAAAAAGACCAAAAAAAAAAAAAAAAAAGACCAAAAGAAAAAAAAAAAAAAGCCTGAGATTTAGCTCAGCCATGTAAACGCCTACCTGGCAAGCACAAGGTCGTGAGTTTGATCCCTGGTACAGAAAAAGGAAAAAAGAAAAAAACCCACCAAAACTAAGTTTGATTATTCCTTTGTTGTTTATAGAGGGGCTATTATTATTTTGGTACGGAGAGGATCAAACGCAAGGCCCTGCACATGCTAAGCAATCACTGTATCTCTGAGCTATCTCCCTAGACCTAGTTGTGGCTATTATTATAATTTTTACTTTTCTTTTTTGTACCAGTTATGGAACTAAGGGTCTAGCGCTCCCTAGGCAAGCACTGTACCACCTGGAGCTATTGAAATAAGATTGCTATAAGTAATTCTTTTGTAGGTGGGTTGGTTTGTGTTGGGTTGCCTTGGGTTGGGGATTTTTCACAACAGGGTCTTGCTGTGCAGTTCAGGCTGGCCTTGAATGTACACTATTGCCCAGGCTGGCCTCACACTGGAGGTGATCTTCCTGCCTCAGCCTCCTGAGTGCTGGGATCACAGGCGTGTGCACTACACCTGGCTTCCAAGTCATTCTTGTGATGGAAAGAAATACTTACTCATCTGTCAGGCGCAGAATTGCTGCCCAAGACGGTGTATGTTTGTTTCCCATTTTAGCTTTAGTGGATGCTGCAAAACAGCCTTCCACAGGGGTTGCATGAAATTCTTTTTCCCTATCAACAATATATGAGTTCTGGGGCTGCGGATGTGGCATAGTGCAAGAGCTCTTATTTTGAATGTACTAGGCCCTGGGTTCAATTCCCCCAGCACCACCAAAAAGTAAAAAAAAAAAAAAAAAGCTGATTGTTTTTGGGGCTGAGGATATAGCTTACCAAAAAAAAAATAACAGCAAAAAACAAAACAAAACAAAACAAAACAAAACAAGAAACCTGAGTGAAACAATATGAGTTCCAAAGAAGGCTTCAGCCAGGTCTGATGGTACACACCTGCCATTCCAACACTCTGGAAAGCTGAGACAGGAGGATTCCAAGTTCAAACCCAGGCTGGGCAACTCAGCAACTTCGTGAGACCCTGTGTCAAAATAAAAAAATAAAAAGAAAAGGGAATAAAAGAGGAATTAAGATGTGTTATGTACATTTAGCAGCTCAA